ATTTACACTTCTTGCACATTCCTTACTTTCAACAGCTTCTTCTATTTGTATCATTGAATGTAAGAAGAACCCTCTTCCTAGATTCACAAGTAATTGCTGGGGGGAGGAAAAAAAATCTTCCTTTTACTATTCAGTGATAAGCTGGATTTTTGCCCTCCTTGGCCAAGATCCATCCCAGCAATATGCACAATTAACTCTGGGTCTCCAATATGCTTTGGCCCAAGCATTTTGAACAATATCGTGCGCAAGACAGTAGCAAACAATTTTCAAAACTGGGAGAACTTTCAAAATCAAATTAGATGGGGTGTGTATGTGTGTGTGTGCTGGAGTTTTCTTCCCCCCGCCCCATTTATTTACAAAATCCATTAGGATTGACTGAATCTGTAGTCCCACTCAGAGTAACTCCTTGGGTCAGAGCCTTCGCCACAACTTTACCTTTGTATATTTCTCTTGTTGTGCTGCCTCATGAGCCTATGTTAACTAAGTGCTGTAGGTTAGAATGACCTCTTTGTAAGCAGAAAGCAAATGCTCTGCTCATCTGTGACTTCAGGTCTCTCAGCAGCCTGCTTTTTATAAGCCAGATTTTCTACTACAATTTGTGTAACTAATGGAGTGCCAAAGATAGCATCTATTAACACCTCCTGCTTCACCCCTTCTATAGTTCTCTTATGTGACTCTCTGCATTGTCCCCTGAGCCTAAGTTAACATTGTTCTTCAGATGGGAAGAGCCTTTTTGTCAGCAAAAATCAGCTTCTCTGGTCATCTGTGTATTTCGAGCCTGTCAGGAAAGCTCCTTTCCCAAGCCACCTTTAATGCCACAATTTGCATAAATAATAGATGGCATCTATTAATGCCTCCTGCTCACACCAAGAGAAGGAAGTAAGCAACTTCTTTTTGGTCAGCAAATTTTCCTAATGCTACCTGCAATATGAACAAGAGGAGCTATCAAACACATTAAAAATAAGCACAGAAATAGGTAGATACTTGCTTTCACAGAATTGACAGGAAGGTAAAACCAACTGCTTTATTACTTAAGAGACAAGTGTTGTTTATACAGTGGTGCTTAAAAGTTTGTGAAACCTTTTGAATTTTCAATATTTCTGAATAAATATGATCTAAAACGTGATCTCTTCTCCACCCAAGTCCTAAAACTAGATAAAGAGAATTCAGTTAAACAAATGAGTCAAAAATGTTATACTTGTTCATTTATTTATTGAGGAAGATGATCCAAAGCTACATATGTGTGGCAAAAGTATGTGAATCTTTGCTTTCAGTAACTGGTGTGCCCCCTTGGGAGCAAAAACTGCAACTAACATTTTCAGTAGTTGTTGGACAGTCCTGCACATTGTTTGGAGGAATTTTAGCCCATTCCTCCTTACAGAACATCTTGAACTCTGGTATGTTGGTGGGCTTCCTCACATGAACTGCCCGCTTTAAGTCCTTCTACCACATTTCTCTAGGATTAAGGTCAGGACCTTGACTTGGCCATTCCAAAACATTAACTTTCTTTTGCTTTAACCATTCTTTGGTCGTATGTACTGGTATGTGGGAATGATCTTGGGAGACAAGAGGAAGAACTGCAGCCTAGAAAACTGTCATGCAAAAGGTATCTCAGCCCACAGAAGGAAAAGGAGTGTGGGAAATGTTTCAGAAGGGACCATCCCTTGTTTTCTGAAAAGTAAATGTAAAGGAGGGGAGAAGTGCTTTCAGACTTGTAAGAATCTGTTATTGTAACCTTACAATAAAGGTAGTGTTAATACTCATGGTTTGTGCTTCTTGTCTGCACTACCTCGAAGGGCTGACATCGTACAACTTGTATGTTTTGGGTCATTGTCTTGCCGCATGACTGACTTTCTCTGGAGCTTCAGTTCATGGACAGATACCCTGACATTTTCCTGTAGAATTTGCTGGTACAGTTCAGAATTCATAGTTCCATCAATCACGGCAAGCCATCCTAGTCCAGAGGCAGCAAAGCAGGCCCAATCCATGATACTGCCACCACTACGTTTCACAGATGGCATAAGGTTCTAATGCTGGAATGCAGCATTTGCCTTTCACCAAACATAACACTTTTTATTCAAGCTAAAAAGTTCTGTTTGGTCTCATTGGTTCCACAGAACATTTTCCCGATAGCTTTCTGGCTTATCCATGTTCTTTCTCAAACTGTAGATGGGCAGCAATGTTCTTTTTGGAGAGTAGTGGCTTTCTCCTTGCATCCCTACCATGGACACCATTGTTGTTCAGTGTTCTTTTGATGATGGTCTCATGAACACTGTCATTCACCAGTGCAAGAGAGATCTCTAGTTCCTTATATATTACCCTGGGGTTCTTTGAAACCTCCCAGAGTATTATATGCCTTGCTTTTGGTGTGATCTTGGTTGTTCAGACATTCTAGGGAGGATAACAATGGTGCTGAATTTGTACACGATCTGCCTGACTGGTGGAGTCCAAACTCTTTGGAAATACTTTTGTAAACCTTTCCAGCCCAGTGAGCATCAACTGTTTTTCGGAGTTCCTCAGAAATTTCCTTTGTTCAAACCATGACACACTTCCACACACCTGCATTATGAAGATCAGACTTAGATAGTGAATGCCTAGAATTCTGTTCTTTAAATATGGCAGGACCACCCATATTCACACCTGATTATCATCCCATTGAGTGAAACACCTGACTCTAATTTCCCCTTCAAATGAATTGATAATCCTAGAAGTTTACATACTTTTGTTGCACACAAATATGTAACTTTCAATTATTTTCCTCAATAAATAAATGAACAAGTATAATGTTTTTGACTCATTTGTTTAATTGGGTTCTCTTTATCTAATTTCAGGACTTGTGTGGAGAAGAGATCACGTTTTAGGTCATATTTATGCAGAAATATTGAAAATTCAAAAGGTTTCACAAACTTTTAAGCAGCGCTGTATTTTCCATGGTTTTTACTAGATGATCATTAATTTTTATTTTTGTTGCTAAGAAACTGTGTGCAGCTCAGTGGAGAGTAACTTAAAATGGTATATTAAGACTAAGGTAGCCTCCAGAGTGCTTGGTTTGTGAGTCCCAGAGTTCCTATCCAGAATGAGCAAGATCTTTGAGCAATTGCTTGCTGATCAGCAACGGGCACACTTCAATGAAACTGAAGTAGTAGATCCTGTGTACTTGGGTTTCAGGCCTAATCTGTAGTAGAAACTGCCTTGGTTGCCCTGTTAGATGACCTATTCTGGGAGAGGGACAGGAGGAGTACAACCTATTTCAGTGTCTTAGACATCTCTTCAATAGCATTGACCATAGTATCTTTTGGGACAGAAGAACCATTTGGGACAGAACTGTTCTAGTTCTGCTTTTGCTTGAATGGCCAGTTTTAGAAGATGGTGCTGAAGGATTACTGCTTTGCACTGTGACTATGATTGGGACTGTGATTATGCTTAGGACTGTATTTTTAACATCTACATGAAACCTGTGTAGGAGGTTATCAGGGATGGGGTGGAGTGTCACTAAGTATGCAGGTGACAGCCAGCTTTAGTTTTCCTTTTCATCTAATATAGATGAGACAATAGATGTTCTGAATCAGTGCCTGGGCAGGATAATGAGGGCTTATCAACTGAGATTCAATCCAAAGAAGATGGAAATAATCCTTTTTGTGAGTGGCTTGCCCGCCCAAGTAAGTGATGTTTATCCTGTTCCAGAAGTAGTTGTGCACCACTTAAAGGAACGGATGTTGCCTCAGTAGCTCAGAGTGCCCTTTATCAGCTTAAGCCAATATACCAACTGTGCCCCTAACTAGGCTAATACAGTTTTATAATAGTTGTTCTGATATAAAGGACTACCATGCTAGAGCAGGGACTAGAGGTATTTGTGATAGGAAAATGTGGCAATTTCTCCAGTCTTGTTTTCCTTTTTTTTAAATCAGGCCCAGTGAGTCCTTCAGGGGCCTAGATTTGCTCAACAATGCTGAGAATTGATGCAGTCCCTATTGTTCTCCGAGAAGCTTACCTGAAGGTTTCAGTGAGGTCTTTCTGACATAAGAACTCTTAAAAATATGTTTTTAATCTTTGCCTTGAGATGTGTCTTTACATTTTCATGGAATTTTATTTTTATCTAGGATTTTGTACTTTCTATTTTTATCTTTTGTATTTCTTTGCTACTTATCCTGAGAAAGCTCAAGGCAGGATATAAATATCCTAAATAAATAAGTCAGTTAATTTCCCTTCATGTCTGAATTGTATAAAGGCATATCATACCTACAAAGGGGCTGTGGCACTGTGCTGCTGGCTTGAACCCCAAGTATGCCTAGCTGTTTGATCCTGTCTTCAATGTCACCATGGATGTTTATGCATGTGTAGGTTTTACATAAGATTAACAGTTTTCAAAAAATTTTAATTAACTTTTTCCCCAAATATTCCTAAGCAAACATTAGTGGTCATGATATAAAAGAAGAATGCTTGTTATGGATCAGTTAGTAGATAAAAGACATAATGCACACAATAGAAATAAATAGTTCTGGGAATGATTGTAGAAGGGGGTTTTGCACTCATGCTCTGCTTTGGGGATTTCCATACATAACTGGACACTGTAGAAAACAGTTAAAGCTTTGTCTCATCTAGCTGGACTGTTCTATATGATATGTGTTACTGACTGTTGCATTGTATTTTATTTATTTGTTTATTTATTTATTTATAAAATAGAGAAAATGCAATTTCAGCAAAGACATACTTATGCCTTCAACACATGTCTGAATTGTATAAAGGCATATCTGTGGTTAACACCATTCTTTCAATGATTTTAATTTGAATACAAGTTGAATAGAAAACTATTATTTGAGAGCAAATAATTGAGAGCACTTAACCAATTGAAAATGGCTTTGTGGACCTCAGTTGTATAAATTCAGCTTATTTATAGAAGGTAAAAGATTCTGTAAATCAGTGAGCCTTACAGAAAAATAAAAGCTGTAACTTTTTTCAGTTGAATGTTGATAATGTTTTTACACTTTTGTATTCTGCAGGTTAGAAAAGATTTGGAAATTGGTCTGACAGAACAATCATGATGGGATTAAAGAATCCAACTGCCTTGCCTGGTGGTCTTCTTCTTTTAAGTGTTGTTGTACTTTTGCTATGCCATGTGGACAAAGTACACACAGAACATCAACCTGAAGAAACCAATCATTCTGAAGAGTGTACTGGTTCCTATATCTGTAAGAAAGGTGTGATATTGCCAATCTGGGAACCTCAAGACCCTTCCTTTGGTGATAAAATAGCAAGAGCTACTGTATACTTTGTGGCCATGGTCTATATGTTTCTAGGAGTGTCTATTATAGCGGACCGCTTCATGTCATCCATAGAAGTTATTACATCCCAAGAGAGAGAGATAACGATCAAGAAACCCAACGGTGAGACCAGCAAGACAACAGTAAGAGTTTGGAATGAGACTGTTTCCAACTTAACATTGATGGCTTTGGGCTCTTCTGCACCTGAGATCCTCCTATCTGTCATTGAAGTGTGTGGCCATGGCTTCAAGGCAGGGGACCTTGGGCCAAGCACTATTGTAGGAAGTGCTGCCTTTAATATGTTTGTCATTATAGCCATTTGTGTTTATGTTGTCCCTGATGGGGAAATCAGGAAGATTAAGCATCTTCGTGTGTTTTTTGTCACTGCAGCTTGGAGCATTTTTGCCTATACTTGGCTTTATCTAATTTTGTCAGTTCTGTCACCTGGGATAGTAGAAGTCTGGGAAGGTTTACTCACTTTCTTCTTTTTTCCTATCTGTGTGGTGTTTGCATGGGTTGCTGATCGAAGGCTTTTATTCTACAAGTATGTCTACAAGAAGTACAGAGCTGGCAAGCAGAGGGGCATGATAATTGAACATGAGGGTGAAGGGCCACCATCCAAAGCTGACATTGAAATGGATGGAAAGATAGTTAATTCCCATGTTGAAAGTTTCTTGGATGGCACTCTGGTTTTAGAGGTGGATGAGAAGGATCAAGATGATGAGGAAGCAAGGAGAGAAATGGCTAGAATCCTTAAGGAATTGAAACAGAAGCATCCAGACAAAGAGATTGAACAGCTGATAGAACTAGCTAACTACCAGGTTCTGAGTCAGCAACAAAAGAGTCGCGCCTTCTATCGTATTCAGGCTACTCGGCTAATGACTGGAGCTGGCAACATATTGAAGCGACATGCAGCTGACCAAGCACGAAAAGCAGTCAGCATGCATGAAGTCAACTGTGAAGTGGCAGACAATGACCCTGTCAGTAAGGTCTATTTTGAGCAGAGCACCTACCAGTGCCTTGAGAACTGTGGCACAGTAGCTCTAACAATTGCCCGTCGAGGTGGAGATTTAACCAAAACAGTCTTGGTTGACTTTAGAACGGAAGATGGTACAGCCAATGCAGGGTCTGATTATGAGTTCACTGAAGGGACAGTGGTATTTAAGCCAGGTGAGACACAAAAAGAAATAAGAGTTGGCATAATTGATGATGATATATTTGAGGAAGATGAGAATTTCCTTGTTCACCTCAGTAATGTGAAAGTGTCAGAACAATCTGAAGAAGGTATTCTAGAGGGCAACCATGTTGCAGCTGTGGCTTGCCTGGGATCACCTGCTACAGCTACAGTTACAATCTTTGACGATGACCACGCTGGCATATTTACTTTTGAGGAACCAGTCACTCATGTAAGTGAGAGTGTGGGGACTATGGAAGTGAAAGTGCTACGGACATCGGGAGCTCGAGGAAATGTTATTGTGCCATACAAAACAATTGAAGGCACAGCCAGAGGAGGCGGAGAGGACTTCGAGGACACTTGTGGAGAGCTTGAATTTCAGAATGATGAGATTGTGTAAGTATTACCTAAACTTTTGTAGCTTATCAGTAGTGTGAATTTGTTTGCTCACGTATCTGGTAAAGTTCAAAGCCTTTTATAATTAATGCTGAATCAAAAGCTGAAGACTCTAATGAGTGACATTACCTTAAAATGTAGCTCAAAAATGCTATGTTTGACTGTGTCCTGAAGATTTCATGTGTCATGAAGTGGTATGTATGTGAAAGAGTGCTATCAAAAGGAGTGCATTCCAGAAGTGTAAATATGAACAAAAGCACATGTTGCATTGAAACTACACATCATCCTTTCACCCTTTCAGATATTCCAGTCATTATTAATTGAGATTAATATAAAGTAGTGCAGAAACTGGTGATATCCTTTTGTAAGCACAGATACATCTTGGACTCATCTTGTAATCGGGAAGGCCTGTATTTAGAACTAGTTTAGGATGGGTCTGCTATTTACTTTACAAAAAAACAGCCTATGACTGATAAATGCAATTAGGTTACAAGTTCAGAGAGGATTGTCATTAGCCTTTGTGACATCATGAAATATTTATGGTCTGCACTTTGGAGTGAATGTTACCACGTGGGGGAAAGTCCAATTAGGCAAGGCAGCCAGGTTTGACAGTTTACAGATGAGAAAGCAGTTAGAAAGGAAGCATTGCTGATAAGCATTTCCTGGCTGCTAAGACTAATTTTTCCCCTCTTGCTATATATATATAGCAAGAGGGGAACATACATACATACATACATACATACATACATACATATGGAATCCATACACACGAACATACACATACATCTTTTTATTATTATTATTATTATTATTATTTTGCTTCTACTTTTGCCTGTGTTCTCATAATGAAGAAAAATATGCTAATGTGTAGTCATTTAGATATTGGCTCAGGCTATGAAGGCCGCAGTTCAAGCCTCCATTTGACTATGAAGCTGACTGGGTAACTTTGGGCCAGCCCAAACTAACTTACAGTATGACTGATAACAGATAATGTTGTTAGAATAAAGAAGGCCAAAACCCTATAGCCATTTCTTTATTATGAGCAGTAGGGAAGAATATATATCTCATCCCAAGGCTCATTTAATTTCAACAAAATAGCCAGACCATTTAAATGGATTCTACTTGCTTGAAGTCTAACATGTGTGGCTCATAATCTTAACACATAGTCTTAACACATAATATGAAACATATGCGCTGTGCTGACTTCAAGAAAGTTCTGTATAATCCTGTGCAACAAGTGAGCCATATTAAGCTGTGAGTGCATGGGACCTGAGTGTACATATAAAGGCCACACAGCAAACAAACTGAGCCTCTGATTTTCTTCCTGAATGCGTAATAGGTCAGTGAAATCAAGATGAATAAGGACAGTTGCAGTAGGAAATTATGCAATATTTTAAAACATTACCTTTCCTGTATTCTTAAACTTGAATTGTGTGGAAAGAAATAAAAAGAAAAACAATGCTTTGTATTCAAGAAAATACAAAAGAAAAACAATACCAGGATATAAAACTATTAAATTATAAACAAATTAAGATACATGATTCTGCTGATGTATTAAGTAGAGTGCATATCAAATGCAATCCGAGTATTATCACTGCGGAGTATTAGAAAGGCAGAACATCTTTGTGAGCACCAAACTTTGATCTCAGGACTTGTCAGCTGACTCAGTGAATCTGTGCTTCATTTTGTATTAAAGATGCATGATCTTTTATCAGATGTAAGTTTAAAAAACCTCCAGTCCTTTTGAAAAGAAAAAGAAACAAAGGAAATAATGAAACTAATAGTAATACCTTCCATAATTTTATGGAAGATTTGCTGCTGGCTATAAAAGAATGCAGATTACATCCATTATAGCTATCACTGTGCTTGTAGCAGGGAAAGTAGGAAAGAAAATGACATCCAACAGAGTGAGGCATTGTAAGAGATCTTTGCTAGCCAACAAACTTTATTTTTCAGAATAAACAAAAATTGTCAGTCTGTAATCTTTCACTGGGCCATTCCCTTTGCTATGATTTCACACTGTCATGGATAATTTTAGCACTATAAAGAACAGCTCTCTGCAATTTTCTAGTTGGGAATTCTGGGAACTTAAGTCTGAATACACATTGTGAACACCAGATTGGAAAGACTGAAATAGAATGTGATCACTACAACGTAGTTTCTAGAGATCTAATTGCAACTTTTCCCAATTCAAAATATATACCTACATGTGGATATAAGAAATAGAGGTTTCTGATGATGCTGTAGCTGTGATACTCTTTTATTGATTGCCGTAAGATTTTACTTGTGATAAGAAACCAATTCTAAATGATAAGCATCTGTGCAACAAGATCTCTCTCAGACAGGTCAGTGAATAGAACTCTTTTAAAAAGGGAGGCGAATAAAAAGGACAGCATTCTAACATTACAGCTTGTGCTGAGTAAGCTATAAGTCAAGAACTCTTGGTTAAAAATCGATAGAATGTATGGGGCCCAGCTCTGATGAATATTATTTCCCTTAGTCGCTAACATTCATTTCACTGGGGCCCAATTACATAAAGCAAAGTTGCCTCATCCTGTCTATGGATCCTTCCCATCCATCACAATATATTTTGTGTTCATTTCTTCCTCACAGTGTATCATACAGCATCAGAGTAAATTTAAAGTTATTGCTTATGGTGGAGAAAAATCTGTAAGAGGGAACTTCTGAATTTATTTTCAGTCCAATTTTGACTTAACACTTTCTTCTCCCTTCACTGTCTCCAAGTCAGTGGTGAGGTTTGTTGGTCTACAACAATGACACACAGCGCTTCAGTCTCCAAACTGTATTACGGATTTGCAAAACCAGGTCAAGCACCCATGGATGTGTTCAGTAACGTTCTACGGGCAAGACCCCAATACACAGGAAACAGAGTGTATTTATTATCAAACAACAAGGAACTACAAATGTGTAAAAACATGATGGGATGCAAAGAAGTCCAACGACAAAAATACACACCTTGCTGTACCTGTCAAATGCAAAACCACAACCTTCAGCTAGCTCTGTTTGACCAATTTCTTCTTGAAGCACAACCACTAATACAGAGTTGAAACTATGCTGTGTGCTTGCTAATTAATGGCTGTTATACTTAAAACTCTCGCTATGCTCAGGAACCCTATCCTAAAACATGAATGAATATTAATATTCCAATTGCTTAAAACCTTCCACAGGTGCACCACACATTTTGAGTGGAACAGGCTTCTAATATCTGTTGTCTTGCCAACTCCAACTTCCTTTAAATGGCTGAGTTCTACCCATAATAGGGAGGGTACCGTAGGGGCTGCTGTGGATGGGAAAAGCTACTGTAATGCATTCTTCCTGATGTGTGTTTTGCAGGTTTTGTTTCTCTCCAAATCTGTATTATGCTTATTTTGTATCATACACCTCTTCTGTGGGTATACGTGTGTGTATCCAACTTCAAAATAGTGGGAAACTATTCATCAGTGTTCAGTAATCATGGTAGCCTGTTGCCTTCTTTCATTTTTAAAAATTCCACCTGAATGTGAGAAGTTTCTTGGCGATGTAGTAGGTTCCAGTAAATCACCTCTGTGCTGAGGATGCTTCTCTGAAATTGTTCGTCAAGAATTTGACATGAGGAAGGATAATAGGTTTGAATCTTAAATGTTAATACTGCTCCAAAAGTATGAAGGAAATCTAATTTCTTGAACGACCACTAATGAAAGGTGAGAAACAGATTTCACCAATTTCCCCTCCTATCTTAATGAAGATTCTCAGTCCTCCAGGTGGAATCATCTGGAGGTTGAGTCATGGCAACTGGACTTCTTTTCTTTTGGTTAGATACATTTCGCTGCTTGTCCGAGACAAACATCAAACCAAAGGAAAGGAAGTCCAGTTGCCATGATTCAACCTCCAGATGATTCCCCTTCTGTCCACTCTTGGCTTCCGTAAGCTGGAGAGTCTTTCAAAACAGCATGGGACGTGGCGTCAAAGAATATTTGACAACAATTCTGTCCTTCTCTTTTAAGTAGAAACCTTCTTTGTATTTTCAGTCCCTCTGTGGTTTGATGGAGCCCTTCTGCTTATAGGAAAGCTACCCTGGATCCAAAGCACTACCTCCGTATCACTTCTGAGTGATGGTGGTAACAATAATGATACACAGATATTTGTGTACCACTTTTAAAGAATGCTCTAAAGGCATAATGTGTGTTGGTTTGTATTGCAGGCCACTATTACTGCTTCAAAATTGTAGCTATAATGGTCCTTAACTGTTTTTAAGAGTAAGCTGTTGACGAAAACTACTGATTACATTTCCATTTATATGGTAGAAATAGTGATCAACCAAGCAACTAGATTATGGTGTTATCAGATGGGATAAGATTCCTTTAGACTTCCTCTGATACCATATAATTTAGTTTATGCATATAGCCATAGCACTTTCTCTTACTTCCGTGACAGTGTGTCACCTCAGACTTTTATTTCCCTGGTTTTAAAAAAGGATTAATTTCAGTTTTCTGAAGTAATTTTTAACTGATATTTCTCAAAATTCCTTTATCTGGCCTTTTCTATGTCCCAGTCCTCAACCGTCATTTTCATTGTGGGCACTGTTTCATTACTGCTAGCTTAACTCATGTCTGAAAGCATGGAGAAGCTTCCAGGAGATACTCGGGGGAGAATTATTTCTCAGAATTTTGCCATTTCTCCTGCCAGGCTCCACAATTGCATTGTGTATATGTGTGTAAGATCCAGAATTTAGGTACAGTTCTTGATATAACACAGACAAGTATACAGTGTGTCATGCTTAACAGCTTCTTATGTTATCATAGTGTCAGCTTCATAACTTCATTCAGAACAATGAAAAATAACATTTCTCATTTGGATATATTAAATTATTATTACAATGTTCAGTGAAAAGATTTCAATTATTCAACCTGTCTTTTCTCTTTTGTCCTTATATGGCTGAGAACTGTACTTGGTTTTTCCGCGGCCTGTCAGGCATGGTAACAGAAATGGGCTAGAAAAATAAGTGGGTGAGGCCAAGGAGAAAACTAAATTTGATTAGGTTTAGATTTAAATTATGTTGGGTTAAATTAATTTGATACAGGGAATAAGATTACCACCCTCTGTATCAGAATTTTTATTTTCTAGTGTATTAAAAATTGTAGCAGCTTTGGAGGGGCTCTGGGCCCACCTCTGGGGCTGTTGGGGGATGCCTGCAGAATCTTCAGTTGGGGATCTCTCTCTTGGTTAACTTGACCATTGCAACCAAGTCCCTATTCTGTCAAGCCAAGCTTTCTGAGAATGTAGATTTGAATTAAAGCGATTCCTCAGCATAGTTTAAGAGAAAGAATATTGAGTCAGGTAGCCACTTATATATTGCCAAAACAAGAAAAGAAAAAGAAAGAAAATGCATTGCTGGAGAACAAAAGTATATATATTTGCAATAGAAAAAAAATATGCTAGTTCCTATAGTGCAGATTTCAAAAGACTTACAAAGAGTTAATGATGTCATATATTTTTACTCCTTAGCAGGGAAGATCTGTGCTATGTCAGTTTGTGGCTTGTGTCCATCCATTTTCTACCTTCCATTAAAAAAAGAGTTCACTCTCTCTTCAACCCCCCGCCCCCCCGGTACTAGAACTAGCAAGTGTTTCTAACTTTACTCTTTTTTTCTTTGTGGAGAGATTTGGCGGGGAGGGGAGGGGAATATGAACAGTTGAAGAACTGGAGCAAATTTTCTTTTGACTGAGTAAAGAATTCCTGAAATCCTTCACATGTTTATATTTTGAATAGTATAATTGCGTGCATTCATTCTAATTCCAAATTAGTAATATGTAAATCAAATTCCTAGCTATTAATTCAAGCTATAGTGATTCATCCAACTACTATACCGAATGACTAACTTTATTTTTTGACAGGTTAGGGGAATATATCCATACAAACCTAAGGCCTCGTAGATCTAGCTCAGCCTTTTGGCTTAATATATGTTTTTTGTCTTTGCCCTTTTTTTGACCACATTATATAGCTAAATAATGGGCACTGTTTTTTGGATTATGAAGATAAAAAAAATAGGGACCCTTTGCTGCTGCATTTTCCCACAACACCCGTAATTTGTACACCTCTCCCCCCAAAACCTGTGCCAAACATGGCTTTAATCAAATACTGTAGGAGACTATGGCATGCAGGGACAGGAGGAGTTGAGATGGCATCAGCACCTATACAGTCAAAGCCTAACCCTAACCCTAACCCTAACCCTAACCCGTTCCTTTGATTGTGTGGTTGTGGCTGCCATTTCAACTTCTTTGCCCCCCCTCCATGGACACCCCTAATGGGATGGCTTGCTTTATTTAATAATACTGTTTTATTGGTAGCATTTATCATAGGGTTTGTCTGTGTTACAATTAACTAAGAAAAAGGTCTGTTTTTTTTTCTTTTTTTTTCTTAAATTCTATGTTTTTCCAAATGCTTCTTCTCCCCCCCGCCCATCCCTGATGTTCATTCCCTAATGATTCAGAAACAGCTGTGCAGTGTAACCCTGTGCAAGATTATCCAAAACATCAAAGAACTAAGTCCTAATGTGTTCAGGAAGACTTACTTTTAGGGAGGTACGTATAGACATTTAGTCTTAACATTTCAACATATTCTTGACTAATGGTTTTCCACTATAGCAGTTCACTTTAATGTAATAGTTGAAATTAAGGTAGTGCTTCTAAAATGCTAAGCGGATATTTTATTTCATTGTCATTTGTTTCTCACTTTTTAAATCAGAGGGCAGAATTTTAATTTTAAAATATTTATATGGTGGCTTTACTCCAGGCAATTCAAGTTGGGTAACAACCGAAATCATATATTTTACAGTTAAAAACATCCTTGCAGGCATTAAACAAAAAGCAGCAGATGATAAAGACTACAACTGCAGCCAATTATTTAGAATATTCAAATGTGAGACACCAGTTAGATAACATGTTAAAAATTGCACATTAAAAGGGAAGGTCTTCACTGGTTTCCAGAAGATCACCTGCTTTTCACATTTGTGAAAATGTAAATAGATTTATATATCATTAAAATATTACTTTATTTTTGAGACATTGAAGACAATACAAGAAAACTCTCTGTCACTCTCTTTTTGACTCTCTCTCTCTCTCTGGATGTGTGTATATATATACACACAAAAATATATATACCATCCAGATTGCTTCAATTAGGAATGATCTTCATGAATAGTTTTCTTTTTTTCCTTTTTATCAGGTTAACTCATTAAACCTAAAATACCTTAGAAATAGTTTTCAGACTTGCTAATTGAAATTTGCCCTCATCCATTACTCATTTCATTATTCTTCTGACTAAAGCCATTAAATCTTCCAAATCTAATACATACCATTAAAAAAAAAACAGTAGTGCAAGGTGTATTGCAAAGCACTTTTCAAGATTTCTACTTTCCTTGCACAATTTTTGTTTGTAAGCATTTTAAAAGAAAGATTAGTTTTATATCACAAGGAAGGGAAAGTGCCACCCACAGCTAAAATAAGATGGCTCCAGATAAACTTACTTGTGACTTCTACTTAGAGGATCCCAGGCTGTCCTCCAATGAATTAAGATACAAATTTTTAAAATACTGCTTTTGACAGCTGCAACTCTACTTTATTCAATCTGGAACTGATAAGAGAATCATTACAGAAAACCTGGAGGACTGTGAATCAAATGGAATTTATCTCCATTTTTAGTTTTATATACAGGAAGTGATTCTGTAGGAAGGGTTAAATTGAAACTATATGTGGAGCTCTGATGGAAGCTGCAGGGCTTGGCTGTAAGAAATTAATTTTGTGGATGAACCAAAATCCAGAGGCAGAGGGGCGGATGGTAGCCTAAACTCCTGCCATGCACCTAAAACTGAAGTACCAAATGTGTGCTCTCTCTCTTATTTTACTGCTCCTCTAAACTCCTTCTGTTTCAACTGGCAGTTTATCACCAAATGCATAACACTGCTATAGGGGCTAATCATATACATACCTTCTGCATAGTTGGAACCCTGCTCCAGGTGCTGATTAGGTGGCAATGGCCACCTGATGGCCACCTGACCATATTAATCACACTTGCGTTCTCAACA